ATTTTTCACATTTCATCACAGCTCTGCACAGGAAACATGAAAAAATCAAATAAAAATAGAAGTGAGTTGATGAAAACGTCTGCAGCAAACGATGATGTCAGTCTAAAGGCAGCAGGCGACGTGCGTTCCTTTAATTTGTACTGATGATGCGTGTTTAACAGCAGCTTATTGCGCCGTGTCCTGGTGCGGATCCCGTTCGGCCCCGAGGCCCGGCTGACGTTTATGTAACAGTTTACAAGCCAGGCTTTGAAGAAGGAAGACTTTCTGCAGCGAATTACGCTCCCAGCCTCATAAGTATCAGTTAATCCGTCACATGTGAGACGTTCAGACACGACTGCATCACATCAGGCTGTCAGCAGCACGGCTTCGCTTGGCCTTTTTACCAGCATCGCACGCTCCTGTTCTTTCCAGCATAAAGCTAAAATCAGCTACATTTTATTCACACCGACAGGCTAAAATGATCCAAATCATTCCTAAAAGCTAAAATAAGCAAAGATGTTGCTAAATGTGGAAATTCGAAAGCTGTAACTTGAGGCTAAAATTAGCAAAACCATGACTTGGAGTTAACTGTGACTAAAACTAAAAATGAGATAAATCAAAACTAAATGTTAAAATGAGCAAAAACATAGCTTAAAGCTATAATTAGCAAAGTTGTGACTAAAAGCTAATATTTTTCTTCAAAGCAAATATTACAAAATCCTAAATGAAAGCTTAAATTAACATGTAGCATCAGAGGACTGAAAGAGTAAGTTTGCTGCTGTAGAGTGTTTTTGAAGAAATAAAATACTGTAAGTTTCCGTGTGGAATAGTTTTGTACATAAAAGGTTATTTACAAGACTGTTTGATTCTCAATCAAGCCAAAAGTTTAGATACAAATGGTCAAAATGACTGTTCCCCTTTAATGCTGTGATATCGCATCATCTTCATCCTGAAACTGATTTTCTTTTCAGTCATTATTCAGAATTTAAATTCTTCTGCCTTTTATTTTGAAAGGCTTTTAAGGAACAGTCAGGTCTAGGGGTGTAAGGAAATATCTCGCTGAAATATAGCCAAAATTGCTGTTTAGATTTTAATTTTAGGCTTAAAATGCAAACTATCATGCCAGCAGTTTGTTTTTATGATGTATTTTAGCCTCCAAACACTAGTTGGCAGCAGTCAGTCAGCCATTTGGCTCCTCCACTCCTGAGGAGCCTGACAGTATTTTTATAAGGGTAGGTTTTTTTTTTCATATTTGGACTCCTTTGGGGGGGAAAATGGAACTGTATTGCTATGCTTACAGTATATCAATAAATTGACTTGTTTACAGTATTGGAATATATTGTCGTACTTACAACATGGCAATATATTGCTTTGTTTATTATATCATATTATATCGCCATGTGCACAGTATCATGATAAATTGCCATGCTTAAGTTATTGCGATAAATTGCCTTGCTTCTAGTATCGCAATATATTGCTTTGCTTATAACAAGGGTGTCAAACCTTTTCACCAAGGGCCACTTTCTTGGGGGTGGGGGGTACTCCCCCTGTCAGGCCACATGGGTGTGGCCCTTGAGTTTAACACATGTGGCTTATAACATCACAATATATCGCCATGCTTACAGTATCGTGATAAATTGCCTTGCTTACAGTATCGCGATAAATTGCCTTGTTTACAGTATCGTGATAAATTGCCTTGCTTACAGTATCGTGATAAATTTCCTTGCTTACAACATGGCAATAAATTGCCTTGCTTACAGTATCGCAATAAATTGCCTTGCTTACAGTATCGCGATAAATTGCCTTGCTTACAACATGGCAATAAATTGCCTTGCTTTCAGTATCGTGATAAATTGCCTTGCTTACAACATGGCAATAAATTGCCTTGCTTACAGTATCGCAATAAATTGCCTTGCTTACAGTATCGCGATAA